TGGCTGGCGAGCGCGCGCGCGCCAGCGCGGGGGTGGCGCGGCCGTGGGGTCGGGGTGGATGGGATCGCTCGACGGATGAAAGGCTCGTGGAGAGATCAGAGGCGAAAAAAAGAGGCGAAGGCGCGATGGCGCGCGTCGCCCTGTGAGGAACGATGATTGAAGTGCACGTGGTATGTACTTACGTGCGCGTACTTACTCGGATGCGCGGCCCGTGTGTATATGCGGGACGCCGGCAGAAAACGTGGCGGCGCAGCGGTGGTGCATTGTCAGCCGTTGCTCCCTCGTGGTCGCGCGCGACACCAATGGCGCGCGCGGCGCCCTGCGCGCCTCCTCTTCCCGCGATCGCTCGAAAAGCGACGGTGAATCGCTCGAAATCCGCGAGCGAGCGAGCGAGCGACACGCGTGACACACACTTCTCCTCTATTTTACTACCCGCGAGACTCGCCGCGCCGGCTGCCTCTGACCGATATCGAAGATTCGAGGAGGCTGAACCCTGACACGGCCCTTGGGTCGTTCCTCAAGCGATCCGACGCTTCGCGGGATTCCTGACGACTCGCGGCTGGTTTCGTGTTGGGTTTGATGCTGGGAATGGGGGTGTCGAGCTCTTTGTTTCTTAGAATTCGAATGACGCGTAGGTGGTTTGTTGGGGTAGTAGAGGTGATTCGTGGAGGATTGATTGGTGGACTGGATTGAGGAGTTTTTGTCGAGTTTGAGCAGTTGGGTTGTTTGATCTGGTGTTAACCCCTTGCGTACTATTTACTTTTGTTGCTAAGCTCGTGTAATACTTTACTATCGACAATTTGTAAGAGATACAACAGAATTTTCCATTCTACTTCAGGTGGACATTTCGTTTAAAGATCATTGATAATAGCAAAATAGTTTGCTTTGATCCGTGGGTGATGAACAACTTTGATTCTTGTTAAGTTAGTTTGGAAATCTTCGTCATCTTCATCATTGTACGGCAAGGGGTTGAGATTGTTGGGAGTAGAGAATTCGGAGTTCTTGAGAATTTGGTGGTAGGTTTGTTGGTTTTTTCTGTTGGTAGTAATTGAGGGAATTCTGTTGGTTTGAAGGTTTTCTGGTAGTTTGATGCTCGATAACTTGAAGACGAACTGAGGGCTCTGTCAGAGTTCATATTAGTGGAGGACAAATGTCAAACTACTTATAAACCAGGATTACAAATAAAATATCCCGTGAACGTCAAACTGGCAAACATCGAATCTAACTCCGTATTTCAACCTCAAACTTCCCGAAACTAAAATTTCACTGACCTTTACACGATGTTCCCTTTCTGCTGTCACAGTCTTTAAATTACGGTTACTTCTCAGTAAATAAAGACGCGCAACGTATAAATTCGCTGGAACGCAGCGCGATATACCGGAGAATCGATTTCCGAGTTTCGCGAGAGCCATTAAACACTTCAGTCACTCCCCCACGAATATCGTCTCGTCCCGCGGCGACACGTAAACGGTTTGAACGGGCGAAAAATATAGAACAGAAGAAAACGCGGGGAGTGTCGAGGCGCCAATCGATGATCACTTTCCACTCCGCGACGACTCAATTACATCGGCGTTCTACCGGGAAATCAACGGTTAACTTTGTCGAGAAGCGACGGCGGCCGACGCGCACGTCACGGCGAGGTCGCCCGTTCGACTGCCGGCATTCAGGATTTACGCTCCCGACTCGGGTCGAGAATGTCCTCTGACCCTGATCCTCGGGTTTCCCGGGGATTGTTGATGAATTCACTAATAGAGTCTACTGTACGACGTCATCAACGATACCTGGCCACACCGTCGAAAATATTTGCGGTTTCGTACCGGTTACATGGATAGGATCGGGAATCTTCTGTGATATCTTCTCAACCGTACGATAATTATACGAACAACAATGAACAATAATAGTAGCATATATTACTGATAAAAATATATCACCGTGTCAATATTTCTACCCTGCAATATCTCGTAATTGGACGGGATCGGAGTTGAGAATGAAATCGTTTCATTTTACGAAAGCGTAAACCCTTTGTAACTAGCAATGGTAAAACTACTCACTTTCATATTCGATTATAATCTCTCATCTGAATGAACAGGGTAACGAATCTAATAGATTTCATGTTTTCGTAAATAAATTTCATTGGAGTACACTGCAAGGGATGAATCGATCGCATGAACGACGCCGTGGCCAGGTTCGCAATAAGGTTGTGATACATGGAGGGAGGATTCTGAAAGACGTCCATCGTGTATGGTTCAACGATCATTATTAGCGATTACGAAACGATCGGCTGTACAATAGTTCGAGATCTCGGATCACAAATAGTCCGTACAAAACACGGCGCGCGGCATGCGTGTTGTCCTTAATTGACGTCTATAGAATCAAGGTGTGTGGTTCTGGTACACAATGCAAGG